TGGGGGGCAGGGAATTAGGACAGGGAAATCAGGCAAGGTGTCCTCCAAAAGCTGGAAGAGAAGTGGATCCAGTAGATCCCATATAAAGTGCGCTCCCCGGAGAGGTACACCTGGCGCAGAGTTTATCGTCTTTTTGGTGCCAGGTCAAAACCTCTTTATTTAAGCAGTATTTAAAAAATTAATAGTTTTAATGATTTTTGCAGTCACTTTTGCTTTGTTGTGTTTTGATTTAATCTGATTTATTTGATGTCTATTTATTGTTCTACACAGTACTATTGTTTTAATTGCTACTGGATGTTATTAGATGCTTTTAAATTGTTCCTTTAAATTGCTGTAAGCTGTCCTGAGATATTTATATAAAGGACGGCATACAAAAGTTTTTAATAAATAAATAATAATAAATAAAAAGCAGGGTAACTCAGATGGCTTGAGCAAAGTTATTGATTGCTTTTGGTATGGCAAGAGATTGTAAAGATTGGAAGTTCGCCTTTTGAACATCGGGGCAATAGTGCAATATATTTGGACACTGTTACCTGCTCCTGGGACTGTCACTTCCCTCTTCTGACCCACACTTACTTTATCCAAGCCCAAAAGTATTTTATAAGGCAACATAGGTGAGATCAGCCTCCATCAGCCTGGAGCCCTCCTGACTGCGATCCCACTAGCATGGCCACTGGAGAAGCACCCGGTCAGGGAAGGTCAAGGATAGGCAGGTAAAGCGCCCATGCCTCCGAAAACGGTATGGCTGGCAGAAATCGACAGGTGCTGCCCGCTGATCACTGCAGGCCCATCCATGCAGAGAGAAGAGCCACCAGTTGGGTTTCTGCACACACAGCAATGCTCAAAGGTGTGGAAACTCTTGAGGAGAAGGGTGGTGCAGTGAGAACCACCCCCCCCCACACACACACACAGAGGGTTCAGCAGGGCCTTCGTTTCAGTGGCATGCTACTTTTTATGTTCATATCCCAAAGGTCTGTAATCTTGTTGTTTTATAAATCCTGGAGCCTTCTCTTGGCCAGTATGTAAGGCAGAGCCGTTGAAGGTGGCTCACGTTCGGCTGTGGAGCAACCTGAAACACACGGTCTGGGACAGGAGGGCTCTGAGAGCTTCTCTGGATAAGCTCGGAGACTGATATGATGGCTCAGCTGAGCTGCACATGATGCGATTAGAAGATGAACTCTGGCTGCCGTGCCAGTCGGATCGGCACCTGCAAGGCTGTGGGGTGTGTGGGGAAAGGGGGCAGAGGCCGGCTCCTGCAACCTGGGGCTGTTGTGCTGGCTCCCTGGGGGGGGGCAGGGGGGGGGGGGGGGGGAGGGGGCTCAAGTGGCCTCTTGTAGAGAACAGGCCTAAGTTTGAAGAGTGACCAGGGAGCCATCTTCTATTTGAAAGGCTGTGTCAGGTAATTCCATGTTAAAGCTGAACTGTGAAAACCAGTGCCCACCCGGGTAGTGGACTGAAGAGACGAGCATGCACCTCTCCTGGCTGCAGACTTCCACACTGCTAGGAAATGTACTGCACTTTTATTTAGATCATAATCATTACTTCTAAATTCATATGTACATATATCCATCAGCACGTGCAAGTTTTATACAAATCGCTGCTGTTTTTTTGGAGATCCCAAGTGGCCATCATAACTCACAATCATCCTCATTCATATAATGTTAATCTGCAATGATGGCATGGAAATGACTTTGTTAGTATGTCTTGCATTGTAAACCACCAAGGCAATTATAGGCGGCTTATAAATATACGCAAATGAATGAATGAGCAGAAGGGACAGAGCAAGGAGAGGAAATCCATGGGTCAGTCTTCCCACTGCAGTGCTCTCACAAACATTAGAATGGAAATTTTCCTGAAATGGATTAATGCACTTATTTTACAGTGTCTGCCATTCTTAGTCTCCGTTAGATTTAGATTTAAAAAAAAATCCAGTGTCTATACAGAGACACAGCAGAGCAGACTATACTGAATTTGCAAAGTCCATTCTTTACAAGAATTGCCTTCAGGTTCTTCAACAGTGCATAACCAATTGAAATATGAGGGCCAATAGCAGGGGTAGAGCGGGCTGTTTAATGTTTGTGGATATGCATGCAGTACTGAAATAAAACTGAAGACACATTTGAAATGTGTCTGCTTGAATCTGTAATGTTGAATTATTTTAAATTGTGCTTTTGAGACTGTTTTCCTATGCAGCAAAGTAACTGGGTGCTTTCTCATGCCCTGTTCTTGCATTCTGCCTGAATAGGATACATGAATATGGGTAGAGGGGATGGGCCCGAGTATGGGGGGGGGGAGCTGACCTCAGTGATCTTGCAAGCCCCACTCCGCCCTCCTAAGTCCCCAAGCTTCCCATGTCAAGCAGGGGATTCTGCAGAGGGCTTCCATGCATGTGCACTTGAACGCAAACAAGTAGAACCCTGTGCAGTTCGGAGCCCTGGCAAATCAGGGGCCGCCTTAGCAAATGCCACATTCAACCTAATGAATCCTATGAAGTGCAGACTTCCCTGTGTGGACTTCCTAGCACAGGAGTGCGGAAGCCAGGGATGCTTTGGCATGTAAGAGAAATAATCATTTTAGAAATGTTTTAATACACATGCATATTCCTTTTACTTCCATCTTTAATGTTTTCTTTAAATATGGAAAAACATTTTGAAAGCCCAGGTAAAGAGGAAACAGTAATTAATCACTGTCTGAGTAAGAAAAAATAGGTTGGGGGCTTGACAGGTCTTCACAGAGAGCAAGTTCCCCTAGCAAGAAAATGGCAGGGCTGAGAATACAGCCTTAGTGGCTGATTTCAAGAGGCTCATGTGGGTTCGGGAGCTAACCTGATCCCTGGTTAAATATGTAAATATAAATAGCCTGGTGTATTTCATGTTTTGGCCTGTTATTCTGTGATTCCCTGGCCCTTCGAGCCTCTTCACCACAAAATTTCTGGCAATTATATTTCTAAACAGGTGCAAGAGCGTGACAACATTGGGCTTACTCTGTGGCTAACAGCTACAGAGGACTGTGTTTTCTGTGTGGTTGGAGCCAACACACTCACTAGCTTGCAAAGGGGACACTGTGCAGTGTGCAACCGTGTGTGTGTGTGTGTGTGTGTGTGTGTTTAGGGGCTGCAGAAGGAAGGAGAGGATGGGGAATGTCTACCCTGCAAGCATGAACCTTTCCATGTGGAAGAACATTTCTGAATCCAGCCCCATCATCATCATGGAGAAACTGCTGCGTCCTCTCATATTTATTTCCCTACGTATCTTCTGCCATACCTGCAACAGAGACTAGAAGTACACGTAACTTTCTCACTGTCAGTAAAACAGACAACCGTAAAGGCAGCGATGTGTGCAACAGAGAAACCGTCGGGAGTCTCAGGTAGCCCGTGTTGCACAAGAGAACTGGAGTGGACTGTTTGCTGCTGCTGTCGTCTGTAGCAGCAAAGCACACATGATCTAACAGAAGGAGAGCTGCAGCAAAAGATAAAAGAAGCCAGACTCAGCTGTCACTTTGTCTTCTCTGCCTCTGCCCAGCCCTCCTTGGCAGAGATTAAGAGATTCCCCCTCCTTCCCTCTCTGTTGTACCTGAGTGTACATATATATGCATCTGCCCAAAGTAAGAATAGCTGGGATGACTCACAAACCTGTCTGGTTCCAACTAATGAGCATTTTCCCTTCTTAATGCTGTTTAATATGCTCCCAGCCACCCCATCCCTCCCCCTTATTCAGGGCAGGCAGGGATTCCACAGCTAACGTTGTACAGGGGAGGGGGGCGGGGGGTGGTGAGGGACACGCGTGTGTCTGAAACCTAAATGTGCATCAGCAATGCCCACTCTGGCGTTTACAAAGTCAGGCGGCCACAACCTTTGGGGGACACCTACAGATTGCCTGCTTCTTCATGATGCAGCTTGACTGACTGATGGCTGAGAATGAAAAGAGTCACTCAAGCCCATGATACTAATCAGCAAAAAGGATCCCCTTGGATGCTGACATGCAAAGCCTCTGGCTACCGAATCACATGCAGCGGGGGGGGGGGGGGAGCATGGAGCAGCTCGTTAGTCCACAGCACCAACCCAAAGCAGCCTGATGGCATATGAGGCTGCTGGCCATCACGGCCAGTGGTGAAGGATGATGGGAGTTGTAGGCCCAAACCTACAGAAGCACAGGTTCCTCATTCTATTATCCATTGCACCATTTAGATTAAAGTGTTGGTATGTATTCCAAAGCACATGCAGCTTCTTTCTTACTTTTGATAAATGTCTATCAAAGCTGAAAACAAAGTTAAAACCTGAAAATCTGTGAGCTATGGGGTAGGAACTGAGCAGGGCTGCCAACAATTAGGAGATATTTATTTGCATTATTTGTATACTGCTAAGTATAATAAAACCCCCAAGGAAGTGGGATGGCAAAGCTCGACAAAGCTCCTTGCCCTTCTGCCTGGCTGCTACGAACAGAATTCGCATGTATGTGCACAAATGCATGTCGCATAATTTGGATGCGGGCGGGGGGGGGGGGGGGGAGAACTCCTTCTTATTCAGGACAGAATCTGAGTGACTTTAAGCATGTATCTTGGATTCTGTTTAGAACAAAGAATATGCAGCTTGCTTCCTCTTGTAATGTTGCTGAATCCTTTCCAGTCTGCAAGGAACAGGGGAGGAGCAGTGAGCCTGAGCCCACAGGGCCAAATCCTGGACTCCTGAGGGCCACCTCTGCCCCCAACCCTAATTGTTTGGTGCTTTCTTGGGTTTTATGTAGTCCCCCATGCCCACTGCCCTGTAATTTTAAAAGATTGGAATGCCTCTTCCTAAGGTTAGCTTAAAGCAGTAAGAGCTTTAAGCGACCATATGCCCTTTTTAGCCCTGCCTGCCACTGGGATGTGTCCCTTCAGAATTTCTCCAAAATGGCATTTGGCCTTCAGGCTGAAAGAGGTTTCCCACATCTGGTGCGCGGTGCCTGTTCTGAACGCTGCTGTGTTAATGACATGCCTTCTTCCCCATTTCTCTGTCCGTCCAGCTCTCTGCCTGGTGCTGGGCTGCATGATATTCCCAGATGGCTGGGATTCAGAGACCGTCAGGGACATGTGTGGGGAGAAGACGGGGAAATACTCGCTGGGCGACTGCTCTGTGCGCTGGGCTTACATCCTAGCCATCATCGGCATCTTGAATGCCCTCATCCTCTCCTTCCTGGCCTTTGTCCTCGGCAACCGGCAGAACGACCTGCTTCACGAGGAGCTGAAAACAGAGAACAAAGGTGAGTGCTGCCCCCCATCCCTGGTTACACTGACATGGCAGTGCCCCTCACAGCCGCCCCAAAGGCTCTGCAGCGGCTGTCCGCACGCTCCCTGAGAGATGACCTCCCCAGTCAGCTTTGCTGTGCTCCTGAGCACAGAATTCATACTTCAGTGTGAGCTGGTGTAGAAAAGTGCCTGGATTTCTACCAGCCTTTGAGGCGCAGTTGGCGACTGTCCTAGATCTGTGTGGAATGGGAGTTTCTTGAAGGTTGAAGAATAAGTCTTTACTTCTCATAACTATGACTGAGGCTAAGGTTGCATTCTTTCAACACAGCTAGAAATGAGAGGGTCTTTGGGTGGAGTGCTCCTCCAGGCAGGGTCCCAGTCGGCCTCCTGCTGCATTTTCCGCCCCCGCCCCCTTGCCTCCTGATCCTGCAAGCTGCACATTTATCTGAGCACAGTGGGACTTACTTCTAAGCAAGCACGCAGTGCATTGCACTAGACCTCGTTTCTTTTGCAAAGCAGATCAGTTGGAGCAAATGATAAAAGGCATCGTAAATCCCCACATGACATAAATATGTGTTAGTGATTGGATTGACATGACTAACGCAGTTTACAGTCGTGGTGTCTTTTTGATTGAAGACGGAAAGATTTCTTTTTTACCTCCCGAAATGCAGCCTGTTTAGATCATTTATCCATCCAATTCAGAACTTTTTTTCCATTCTGACTGGGGGTTCACTTTAGCAGAGGTGCCTCTCAGCACCCAAATCTGAGATACATTCATTGAGATGCATAGTATGAAGGGCTAGTGTGGCAGACACCTTAAAACATAAAATTTAAATTTAAAAGGGCAAGCTCTGAGAGAGGCAGTTGCAGCCATCGGCTTCTTCATTACAGGTGAGCCCTCTGCAGTTCACCCTTCCTGTGCTCTGTGTTCTGGGGGAATAAAGATGGCAGCTGATGGCATCACCCAGAGCTTCCTTTCAGCATCCAAGTCGGGGCCTGCAAGGAACACAACTATGTCTTCCCCATTGCTGGCTGCTTCTCCCCCACTTCATCAGCTCAGTAGGCTGGAGTGGGGAACCGCCAGGGTGGCTGCGAAGGGAGCTTGCCCTGAGCCTCCGTGAGCCTGGTGCCAGCCTGCTTGCACTGGGGTCCTCTTCTCTCCCCATACGCTTTAATTCTGATACGGCCGACTGATGGTGGGGATCACAGAAGGAGGGGTGGGTGTCCTCAAGGGATGGAGCTTTTCAGTAGATGTCACTTCTGGCCCAAGACCTTTTGCTGCCTGAAGCCAAGGGAAAGGGACTTCTCTCGCCACCCACATGCAGGAGCCGACCAGACTGGCAAAGCAATCTTACTTCATCGCCTGCAATGGGATGGTGTGTGTGAGGCAAAGGCTGGTTCTGGGAGCCCAAGAGAGCTTGTGAGGCACACACAGCTCAGTCCTTCAAGAGAAAGAGCAGCCGGGGACTGAGGAACAGCCATGAGGCTGCCGCTGGGTCCCCCAGCATCTGCTGGCTGATGCAGTTGCATTTTGACTTAATTAGTTTTTATGTTATGCTTTTAATAAGACGTTGTTTTAATCTGTCTTGTTAGCTGCATTGAGAGGCATGTTTAAGGAGAAAGGCAGGATATAAAATAAATGCATATGCACAAACCTAAAGGTAGGACCACACCTGCTGTAGTTCCAAGACATGGATGGGCAACTTGTGTTCCTTCACATGCTGGTATGAACTCTCTTCAGCCCGAGCCAATGTAGCATAGCCAGTAGTGCGGAATTACGGGACTTACAGTCTCACAGCAACTGGAATATCCTGAGCTGCCCAGCCCTGACCTAAGAGAATCTTCTTCAGCCTGTCCATTGCCAATCTTGTAGAGCTTAACATTCTTGAGGATGTTCTCTCTCCATCCTATCCAATTGACTCATGAGCTCTTTAAAAAGTGAGTACAAGATAGTAACAGTCAGGGCTGTACCTATCCCTCTCGTCTCAGAGGTTGCTGTGCCAGACTGCTCTCTGGCATGGAGTTCACCATGCTGAGAAAGACTTTTCAAAACACACACAACCTGTTCCACCTCTTGTGGCTGGGGATCTCATGGAGGCCAGCAGTGAGCCTGGCGTCCCCTGTATGTAAGCAAGCATGCACCACTGCTCAGTTCTTCCGTATAAATAGGAAAGCAGATGTATGAAAAACATGCAACCAGAGGCACGTTGGTTTAACCTCCATAATCCGTTCAAATCACAAAACTCTTTTTGGGGAGGGGGATGCAATTTTTGGCAGAGCGTATACAGTTGATCTAGACTCCAGAAAGTGAGGCTCCCATTGTGTCACACAGAAACTGCCTGCATGGCCGTTTCCACACATGCTTCTCTGCCCTGGAATGCAAACGACCTGTTGGACCGCAGGCACTTCTTGCCATCCCAGAGCTGCGAGCGATGGGAGCGTGTGGGCCTTTTTTTCACAAATCTTCAGCAGCCAGGAAGACAAACGGGTGCACTTCTCCATGCAGGGCAAGGCTCTCAGAGGTTGCAGGTCCCAGTGCTTCTGTCTGACTTCCAGGACCAGAGGCAGCTTACCTCTGAGCACCCGTCAGTGGGGAATGTGAGCAGGAGGGAGCGGCGGCACCCATGTGCCTCTGGTGGGCTTCCTGGCAAGGCCGCTGCCTGCCCACAGCGGGACCACAAGGCTGACCTGGATGGGTCTTTGGTATGATCCACACCCCCCTTCCCGCTCCTGCTGCAGGGGCAGGAGGGTGGCAGTTGGCTGAAGCAAGCCTAGCTGTTCAGCAGGGTGCCTGGACCATTTTCGGCTCACTGGCTGAACTCAATTCCAGAGAAGCTCCTGGGGGCCACGTGCGATTGGTCGATGTTGCAGATGGAGTAGGGCCAACACAGCAGCACAGTTTAAAGCCTTTCCTGCCAGTAACTAGGCCTTAGGAAAGCATTTCCACCTTTCAGAAAGGGGAAAGCACCGTCGTCTCCAGGAAACCACCAATCAAGCAGTGGTTGGGGGAATGGGAGGGGCTTAGCAATCGGGGATCCCACAGGGCAAGGCTGGGGCTCCAAGCACATCAGATTTGGACCTTGGACCCAAGGCTCTGCACTGCTGCTCTTAAAGGAGAGGTGTTCAGACTAAGTCAGGAGACATAAAGCCGTGGGTCAGCCTAGGATTTGTTCCTTGCACCGCCACCTGCCCTCTCTGACAGGAGCAAAACTGGTGTCAGCAAGGTTGCTGCCTCACGTGGCACAGCGCTTATAGGGCGCTGGATTAGGACTGGGGAACCCAGCTTCAGCTCATCAGGCAGGCATGAGATGAGGTTCACCGGGTGCCTTTGGATCAGACCACCTCTCCCAGCCTCAGAGGGAGAAACGGGGCTCCGTCCAGCCTTGCATGTGCTGCTGCCCTGGCCCTGATGAGACTGGGACAGAAGCCAGGAAAGCCTAAGGTGCCTAATTGGAAATGTAATTAATCAGAAGAAATCTCCTGGCCTCTGGTTTTGTCCATCTGTTTAAATCAGGAAAAAGACAGCCAAGCCAGCAAGAACCCAAATGCTGGAGCAGCAGAAAGCAATGCTGGAAGGGAATCAAGAGCCAAGCAACCCTTCCCCCCACCCTTGTTGATGTGCAGAGAGAAACACAGATTCCTTTCCCAGCCTCTCTGGAGCTGAAGGAATGGACACAACTCACCTACTCTCTTCCTAGACTTTGTGCAGGAGCAAAGATTTTGATCATGGTTTGGCTGGCCTGATAGTGCCAGCTTGCATTCAAAAAAGAAGGCACGCTCCCAGCCTCACATTAGGGTGTTTTTGAAAAACACACAGGGATCTTTTTAGCAAGTAAAATTGCATGCAATCCAGTCTTGCCGTTGTCAGCTGTTCAAGCAGAGCCTGCTGCTGTGCCTTGAATGGCAGCTCAATCTGCAGTGGTTGGTTAAAGATACTGATGAGCCCCATACGTCGCAAATGTTCAGCTCTCAGCTCCTCCAGATCCACTGCTGTTAAGAGCCAATGCGGTGTCGTGGCTGGGGTGCTGAACTGTACTCAGGAGCCCTGGGTTCTAGGCCCCATTCAGCCATGACGTTCACTGGATGGCTTTGGGCAAATCCCAGATTCTCAGGCTATCCTCCTTCACAGGGTGGTGGTGGTTAGGTTAAATCGGAGAGGAGAACTTTGTAAGCTGCCTTGGGTTCCTTGCAAAAGTAAGAAAAGCAGGGTATAAATGTAATGATTTGTAAACCATTCCATATTATTTGTGAATAATAATCTGTAAACCATTCCAAGAGCAATGTGCTGATGGTACAGTATATCATTTTAAATAAATAAATAAATAAATAAAGTCAGGGCTACATGAGCCAGTTAAAGAGTTAGCAATCTTCTCCACTCTACTTGTAACTGATTTTAGGCAGTGGTAGAGAAAACCATCCTGCCAGCTGAATCCCTTAAATACAACCTACCAGATGTCCACTCTAGCGCTAAGAAAAGAGAAGCCAGCATATTTCTAAATGAATAACATAAAATAAGGGTGAAGAAACTGTTTGATGAAATCATGGTGCACTGCTGAGCTGAACTTTGCTCCTGCCTCTCTCCTCCTTTTAAAAAGCTAGATGCACACTTTTGTTCTGGAACGAGACTAGACCACAACATTGGTGCTCAGCCAATCAGAAGTCTTACAACAAATTTAATAAGAAGAAAGCCAGTGTGGTGTGGTGTGTTGAACTGGGAGTCAGGAGATTCAGAATCAAGTCCCCACCTGCCCATGAATCTTACTGGGTGACTTTAGGCCAGCCACTGAGTTCTAGCCTAACCAACCTCACAGGGTTCTTGCAATGCTAAAATGGAGATGAGGAGGATGATCTAAGCTGCCTTGGATTCCTCACAGGGGGAAGAAAGGCAAGATGAATATAATTATATTTATCCACCCTAATGAAACCTGTGGTAGCTGCTTCTACATAATTATTAGATTGAAAATCACGGAATGGCACAGACTTTGGGAAAACAATACCACCGGCCGCCATTCATCGTCACAGGCAATGTCCAAGGAGTATGTGGGACATTTGCTCAAGGCACGGTCCTCATGACCACTAAGACAGCCGTTGAGCGCAGAAATATACCCACAGCCTCAAAACAATGCCAGGGAACTTCTGAAAGCCAGAGCTCAATCCTGATTTTCTCTTTTTATGTTTTCAACAGATTTTGTTGGCACTGCGGTAAGTTCTGTGTGTTGGTGTGACCTAGTCTGTCCTACCCATTAGTGGAGGTTTAGTCTAGTTCTGTTGTGTCCCTGTTCACATGTGTCTATTTGTGTAAAAAGATGATGCCACTGTTTGTCTAATCTGTCTGAGGAAGAGTGAGGGAGTATCTCCATGTATGCTTCTGTGTTTGACCTTTGCCTGCCCCTCTCTGTGCAAATGGAGCCACAGTGAGTGCGATTTCTGGACTGTTTCCTTGGAAGCCCTGATGCTCATGGCTACTCGGGCTCATCTAGCGTGATCTAATCCAGGGGCCACCATCCCACATGGCTGCCGTTTACAGTTGCAGCCATCTGCTGTAGCCACAGTCAGCCCATCACTCTGAGAGCATGGAGGGCCTAGACTAGCTCATCCTCACCCCGGTGTCCTCCAGAAATTCTGGACTACAACTCTCAGCCGTTGGCTCTGCTGCTTGGAGCTGATGGAAGTCCACAACCTGTGGAGGGAGGCAAGCCGGGCAAGGCTCTGCTAGACAAACCCACCCCGCTTCACTCACAATTTCCTCCTCTTCGTGGCTCTGGAAGGCCTCCCGCATTCTCAGCACCCGTACAAATGTTATTCTGAACACCTTCCTCCCACACTGGGTTCGAACAACATGGCTGAGTTGTCATGTCATGCAGACTGGCACCCATTTCCCCAGGATGGCTTGTATGTGGGCAACAAGGCACCCCAATAATCCACTAGAGGTGATGAGTTCTCATGTCATCCAGTCCCTGGCCATCAGCCCTCTCACTGGTACGGGAAAGCAGCTAGTGAGCCCCATGGCAAGGGGGCAGCATATCCTTGCTGCTCTGGCCATGGAGCTCACAGGCAACCAGCAGTGCCAACTACCCTCAAAGTACCCAGTCAGCATTTGAGGCAGCTGCCATGGCTTCCCCACACTGAGGCTTTTCAGGCTTTTCCCCCTTCTAAACGTTCTAACCACTGGGAGGCACATTTTGCACCGGGGGTGGGGGGGAAGGGTTTTGAGTGAGAATGTAATGGTTTCGGGCTGGGACTATACTACGTATGTCCCAGTCCCAAATCCTCAGTTTCTTTTCAAACTCCCCTTTTTAAAGAGACCCAAAGTTTTGGCAGGTAATTATCAAAACCACTTTTCCCTTGAAAAAGGTGGAAGGGCACTTTTGCACTTTCCCAAAGCAAGATGAGGATTTTTCTGCAAAGGGGGTGGGAATCCCCACCCCCCACATCCATCCTCACAGTGTGAGATCACTTTGCCTTAAGGGGAAGTTTTAAAAGAAAAACCAATTTTGCAATTTGAAAAAAAAACCCATGGCAAGCCTAAAACAGCTTGCTGCAGTGGTCAGGAGCAATGGAAATACTTGTTCTTCTCAAGGTGTCCCTTGGGATGCCTGCAGGAGAACCAAGCGATGAGGATGAGGCCAACAGCCCACCGGGAACCTCATCACTTTTCAGGGCTCACCAGAGGTTGTTTGCACAATGACCAAGCCACATGGCTGCAGGGCAGGCAAATTTACCCAAAGAAAGTTATCCTAACCCTACATTTCCACATCCTCTATTTAGCTAGGAACACTGTGTGGCTAAAGCGTAGCCTTTGCATTAATCCCGCTGCCAGTACGGCAAGTCCTCAACTCTGCCACAGCAAGTTTAAACACTAGCCAAAAAGCAGAGAGGCAAACTACACCTCTAACCTCTGCCAGTGTGTTCTGGCGTAGGTTAGAGGGCTGCCGGGGGATCTTGAAGATCTGAGTCCTAGTTCCCACTTGTTCATGAAACTCACTGGATGCCTTTGGGACACTCTCTCTCAGCTTAACCTGCCTCACAGGACTGTTGTAAGGATAAAATGGAGCTATGTAACTCGCCCTGGGTTCCTCTCAAGAAGAAAAAGGCAGGATATAAATGCAATACAATACATAATATAGAGGGGGGCCCTCACTATCTGGACCTGCCTCAAGATCCACATGCCCTCCAGTCCTCCCACCTTCAGGTGTCCACACATTCAGTGGAAATTTGGAAAGAAGGTCCTGTGTGTGTACAGCTAAACACACTTAAGCTCTCCATTTAAGCAGAAACCGGTTCTGTTTCTGACATTCTAACAAATACACAGTTGTTGGGGACAGATTTGGCAAGCGTGGTCCTGTTCTCACTTCCAAACATTCATTTCAGGCATGGAGGGGTCCTGAGCGAACAGCCTTTTTGTCTCTCAAGACTGCACAGTGAGAGTGATGATGCAGGATGAGTCAGTCGTCAGCAGGAAATCATAGTCAGCTAGAATGGCATAAGGCCTCAGGTGGCCAGGCCTCAAAGCAGCCCTAACCAGAAGAACCCAGCAGCAACAAATAACCCACATCGATTCACCTCTTGGTACCCAGCCTGACTTGATCAGGCAAGCCTTTCTCTGCCTGAGGCCTTCCAAATGTTTTGGACTTTAGCATCTATCAGTTCCAGTTGGCAAAGCCAATTGTCAGGGATGATGGGAATTGCAGTCCAACATCTTCTGGGAAACATTACACTGGGGAAAGGCTACCCTAGCCTCTTCATATGGCTGGCAGATGCAAGGCGACATAAAATAACCAACCGAAACTTGCAGCCACCGATTTGGACTTTTCTTGAAATGGTATTTAGATTACATGGATGCAGAATTTTAGCTGTTTAGTCCACCCCACCCCAGTGCTGCCTGTCACCAACTGTTGTACAATCTTGTGCAGCGAAAACACACATGACTGACACTACTATGCATTTTCTCCACAGAGGATATAATGTAGAAGAGGCAGGAGGGCCCCACTCTTAATTGGTACCTGGACTAGACTCCTCCCTCCCTGCCCACCTCCCTCACCACCTTTCCTTTGCTGCTGCCAACCGGGGAAAAAACATCCAAACCAGAAGTCGCGGAATGTGCAGACCTACCTGTGCGCCACTTCCGGAGACGCACCCATCCCTCATGATCGCTGGCTTTGGCTCCTGCCCCCTCTGCTGAGTGGCTTCTGGTGGACAGAAGAATGACACAGACAACCTGACCCATCCTCAACTTTCTGCTTTGGGGAAAAGGAAACATGCACACTCCTATTTTGCGCTGAAACAGAATGACATCCCTGGAGTTTTTAACCAGTTCTTTCCAACGGGATTTCAAGCTTTCCAGGAAAAGCTTTCAGTATGCCTCCACCCCACCCCCTTCTTCCCAAGAGCTGGTGCCAAGATGCTACTGCTGCCACAGACTTTGCCAGGGCCACCTCTTTGCCTCCTCTTCCCCCATTTTCAGCAACTTTAACCACCCTTACGCCCATCCAGGGCCACCCAGCACCTGAGACTGTCCCATTTGATACTTTTGTGTGTAAATTAAATCGTCTCTGAACAGGGTAAGGTGAGCTCGAATCCCCCTTCCCTGTGGGGGTTTCAGCCACCGGAACTTTGCATTCTCCACTCATTCTGCCCAGGTAATGGAGCCGTACCTTGATGTGTAGAGAAGGGGAGGGGGGGCTGGTTGGCTGGCCTTTCTCTGCTCACTGTGGGCTGCTACACAATCCCGGCCTGCAGGGTGGCTCCTCTAATGCTGAATGTAAGCCTCGGCCAGGCCTTGTGAGCATGATGGGAGGAAGTAGCCCAGCACGAGGCGGCGGTGGGAGCAAGGCCTTCCTCTGGTCTGCTGCCAGGGCTGATGCCCTGCCCGGCTGTGGTTCCAGCTCAGCTCCAAGGCTTGAGCCGAATACCATTTCCTTTGAACCTGTGGTGCTGCTCCTCCCCGATCTGAAGCAAAACCACAGCAAGGGGAGCATGGCTCGAGGCAGAAAGCAGGGCAGGACAGGGCTCTCCTGCGCCGCTTGGGGAACTGTCTCCCCGACAGGAGGAGGTGGGCCTTGTGGGTGCCCCCTTCCCTCCGCCAGAATGAGCATCCTCAGGATCCTGTGTTGTGGGCTAAGCTGTGTGAGAGGCAGATGACAGCAAAGGACCTAATCCCCTCTCCCAGAACTCCCCACCCCATCCCCATTTCCATGCTTTCACTCACACTGAGAACTAGGGCAGAGAGGCACCAGCCCGAACGCTGGGACACGCGTGCCCCCTCCAGACAACAGTGTGGCAGCCAAGCCAGCCCCCCACTGCTTGGTCTGACTACTGAGACGGTCCTATGGGGCAACCCTTTGCCCCCCCCCCCCATACAGCTGTCAAGCCTATCAGTGTGCTGCTGTTGCCGCTGCCACTTGAATCAAGCTAGGCCTCGGGCCAGAGCTGGGCCTCAAATAGATTGGAACGTGGCTTCATACTGAAGAGTCTTCCAGACTTGGATGAGGCCTAACCTTGTCTTGTGCCAAAGTGTGCAACTTGGTATCATGGATACAGAGACCAGTTCAGCCTGTGTAAAGCCTCCCCACTTCCTTTTTCACAGCTCCCACCAGCAGCAGCTATTACCATAATAAAGCCCGTGACACCCCGAAGCGAGCAATAGCAACCTTGGCAAGGACCCGGGAATACCTTTCCTCAAGCTGAAAATAATCAATGCCCTGAGAATGAAGGGAGTCTGCTCCATAGGCAGACATAGCCAGAAAAGTGGGGAGGAGGAAACTAAAAGGAGGCCAGAGAATAGAAGGAAACGCCAGAAGGAAATGCAGAGAGCCTAAGGCATTTTAGTTTCCAAGGCAGAAAATCCAAATGGCATCCTCCATGAAAATAAAAACATAAACCAAAAAGCTGACAATTTACTGCCCGTTAGCAGGACTCCAGAATCTGCTGTTTTTAGGGTGGCTGCCCCATCCTGTCTAATAGCATGGCCAAGCTTGAGAAGTAGACCTAAAACACGAACCCCCAAGTGAAGAAAGCACAAAGGAGCCCTGGGTGAGGGAGGGGATCAAACTAAAACCTTATTGTAGCATTAAGAACTGGGGGTAAAAGGATGGCCCAGGAGGTGCAGCTCTCTCACCATTTCATAGTAGCCAAGAAGGGTGGGTGGATCTGCATTATTCGGTTTGCAGCAGGGAAATGATGGGACCCTGACTAGATTCCCTCTCACATGGATACACCGAATCACTCGAACTTTTTAAAAACAACAG